AAAAAACCCCCAAAACCCTCTTCCTAGCCGGGTCCCCAGATCTGTAACACACAAAACAGAACCATACTATACTAGCCTGGTCCCGATCGTAAACCCCCAAAACAAACCCATACACCTACCTGGTAACCAGATCTGTCACTCCGACCAGAACCATACTAATCCTATAGCCTGGTCCCAGATCGGTAACATCACTAACAGAACCATACTATCCTAGCCTGGTCCCAATCTGTAAACATCCTTAACAGAAACCATACTATCCTAGCCTGGTCCCGATCTGTAACATCACTAACAGAACCATACTATCCTAGCCTGGTCCCCAGATCTGTAACCTCACTAACAGAACCATACTATCCTAGCCTGGTCCCAGATCTGTAACATCCCTAACAGAACCATACTATCCTAGCCTGGTCCCAGATCTGTAAACATCACTAACAGAACCATACTATACTAGCCTGGTCCCAGATCTGTAAACATCCCTAACAGAACCATACTATCCTACCTGGTCCCAGATCTGTAACATCACTAACAGAACCATACTATCCTAGCCTGGTCCCAGATCTGTAACATCACTAACAGAACCATACTATCCTAGCCTGGTCCCAGATCTGTAACATCCCTAACAGAACCATACTATCCTAGCCTGGTCCCAGATCTGTAAACATCCCTAACAGAACCATACTATCCTAGCCTGGTCCCAGATCTGTAACCATCCCTAACAGAACCATACTATCCTAGCCTGGTCCCAGATCTGTAACATCACTAACAGAACCATACTATCCTAGCCTGGTCCCAGATCTGTAACATCACTAACAGAACCATACTATCCTAGCCTGGTCCCAGATCTGTAACATCACTAACAGAACCATACTATCCTAGCCTGGTCCCAGATCTGTTTGTGCTCTAATCCTTGCCAACTTCCTTCAAATACTGCAGGGTCTACTACTTTAAAAACACAAAGCTACCTCAAAGTTCTCGAAGCCGAAAATGTCGAGGATGCCGATGGACTTGAAGTTGTCCTTCCCTCTGACCTTCTGGTTGATCCGTGTGATGATCCAGGAGAAAGACTGGGAGTACAACGCCATGGCAACCGAGTCCCGAGAGTCCACCGCCTGTCAATCAAATGATCAGACAATGAAAGGGTTCATTAATATACAGGCCAAACCAGACAACCGAAGAAGTATGGGTGTGTCCCAAATAGCACCCTGTTCCCCTTTATAGTGCACTACTTTAGACCAGTGCACTGAATAGGAGATAGTGTGCCATTTGGTACGCAGCTTGTATCAAGAATATTGAGTGAATTGCTCTGATAAAGTATATGCTGTAGCTAGCTGTTCGCATTGAATCTCTAGGCCCCAGTTAATCTGTCAACAGTGAATCTCTAGGCCCCATTTAATATATGTCAACAGTGAATCTCTAGGCCCCGGTTAATATATGTCAACAGTGAATCTCTAGGCCCCGGTTAACCTCAGTCAACAGTGAATCTCTAGGCCCCGGTTAACCTCAGTCAACAGTAAATCTCTAGGCCCCAGTTAATCTGTCTATGTCAACAGTGAATCCAGACTGAGCCAAGTCTGATCAAGGACAATTATATTTATTATGGAAACAGAAAGGTGCCGTTATCTCCTGATCTAGAAGGAGTTACATAATAAGTTATACATTGTTTGTTGAGTCCAGAATCCTCTTAATTTGTATTTATTTAACCTTTATTTAACCAGGAAAAAACATTGAGACACAGGGTCTATTTTGCAATGGAGTCCTGGCCAAGGAAACATCAGCAGTCAATACAACATTACAACATTAAACATACAAACAGCCCTACAACACGACATTAAGAGCTGATCCAGCCTGCAGGAAACATTTGAAGAGTTTCATTACAAAACGCGATATATGTAAGGGTTGGTGTGAGGTGTGAGTATGAACATTTTCCAGTATGAAAATGTATTGCACTCACTAACTGTAAGTCGCTCTGGATAAGAGCGTCTGCTAAATGACTAAAATGTAAATGTAGGTGTGACCCAGATGCGGTGCAGGATAGACAGTAGGCAGTAGGCAGAGATGGTGAAACAAGGATCTTTACTGGTGGTCCCGAAGCCAGGATATAAAACAACAGACTTTACACGAAAAAGAAAGGCGGAGCAAATAAGACTCCAAAAAACTGCCAGCCAAGATACGAAATACTAACTGTGACTGAAATAATAACTAAACAGGGAGAACACTTCTCACGTACCTGTCCATTCATCCCGCGATCAGACACTGATTAGTACTGCTTGGCATAGTGAAACTAGCAGAGAGAACTGAGCAAGGGAACACAGGGAAGTGAGGGCATAAATACACAGGTGAACAGGTAGACACAGGTGAACAGGTAGACACAGGTGACACCAATAGGATCATGATTAGTCCAGACTGTGAGTGAGGAGGTGCCTAAGGTTGTCGGAGGATGACACCTAGTGGGTCGCTCCGGAACTGCGACCCCCTCCTGTAACAGTGCCCCCCCCCCAAGCCGTTCATCTCGGCGCCTCCTAGTGGAGGCGACGGAATGTTGTTATCAGCCCTGGGTCCAGAATGTCCTTCCTGGGCACCCAGGACCGCTCCTCCGGCCCATAACCGTCCCAGTCCACCAGAAATTGGAGACCCCTCCCCACCCGCCGGCAGGTGGCGACGGGCTTGAGGAGGGACACATGGAATGTGGGATGCACCCGCATGGTGGGGGGAAGTTGCAGGTGGTAGGCCACTGGGTTGACTCGCCGGACCACTCAGAATGGTCCGACAGCTTCCTGGACTCCACGCGGAGGGGAAGATCCCGCATGGAGAGCCACACCCTCTGTCCCAGGAGAAAGACCGGGGCCGGGCGATGCCTGCGGTTGGCCTGATGTTGAGACCTGACCGAGGCCCGCTTAAGCGCCGCCCGTACCTGCCTCCAGGTACGTCGACAGCGACTAATGTGGGCCTGGACCGACGGGACCGCCGCCTCCTCCACTTGATCGGGGAATAGGGGGGATTGGTACCCGTATTGGCACTGTAAGGGGAACAGGCCGGTGGACGAGCAGAGAAGGGTGTTGTGGGCGTACTCCGCCCACGCAAGTCGCTGACTCCACGTAGCTGGGTTGCTGGAGGCGTAGCACCTCAGCACCCCCTCCAGATCCTGGTTGATGCGCTCCGTCTGCCTGTTCGTCTGGGGATGGAAGCCGAAAGACAAGCTGACGGGGGCGCCAAGGCAGGTGGCAAATGCCTTCCAGAACCTGGAGGCAAACTGAGGGCCCCGATCCGACACCACATCTTGGGGAAGGCCATGGACCCGGAAAACATGCTGCACCACCAATTTAGCCGCCACCCGGCGGAAGTTTGGGAAGGGGAATGAAGTGGGCAGCCTTCGAGAACCGGTCCACAACGACCAGGATGACTTTGTATCCATCAGACGGGGGTAGGGCGGAAATGAAATCCAGTGAGATGTGGGACCACGGACGCTTGGGGATAGGCAGGGGTCAGAGCAGCCCTGCCGCGGGCTGACGTGAGCTCTTCATGCACGCGCACACCGGGCAAGCAGCCACGAAGGCGCGCGTATCCCCCTCAGCAGATGGCCACCTTAACCTCCTACGCAGGAATGTCCTGGCACCTCATTCGGATGGCTGGTGAGGTTGGACGCATGCGACCACTGAACTGCCGGGAGAGTGCGTCAGGCTTGGTGTTCTTCGACCCCGGACGGTATGAGATGGTGAACCGGAACCTGGTGAAGAACAACACCCACCTGGTCTGGCGCGAGTTGAGCCTCTTGGCCCCCTGAATGTAGGATAAGTTCTTGTGGTCAGTCCATTCGATGAATGGATGAGCGGCCCCCTCTAGCCAATGCCTCCACTCCCCCAGGGCGAGCTTGACCGCAAGCAGCTCACGGTTCCCCACATGGTAATTCCGCTCCACCGGGGACAGCCGACGGGAGAAAAACGCGCAGGGATGAGTCTTACCATCCGTGAGGAACCGCTGGGACAGGATTTCTCCCACTGCAACGTCTGAAACATCCACCTCCACAATGAACGGCAGGGACGGATCAGGATGCCTGAGGACCGGGGGCGATGTAAAGCGCCGCTTCAGCTCATCAAATGCGTTCCCCGCTTCCGGGGGTCCAGGCGAAGGAGCGTACGCTTGTCTGGGTGAGGGACCCGGCTGTCAGGGGAGCGGCTAGGGAGCTAAATTTGCGAGCCGCCCCGTGGACCAGTCTATCCTGGGTTTGTGGGCGACCAGCCAGGGGTGCCCGAAGATGAGGGGATATCCTCCCATTGCCCCCCTGCCACCCGGACACGCACAGGGTCAGTGCGCCGGGTGATGAAGCCTGACCCCAATGGCCGGCCGTCCAGGCCCATGACCGGAACCAGCTCGGAGAGGGTAACGGAACACTCCACTCTTGGACCAGCCCCGCGTCCATCAGGTTTCCCGCGGCCCCAGAATCCACCAGTGCATGCACCCGACGCGCAGCGCGGGCCCACTGAATGAACCCTGACGGGGAGAAAAGCCTGGGTGTCTCTAGAGTTGGAGTTTAGGTTCCGGCTCGCTAGCACCCCTCCCGATTCTAGCGATTTATTGTATCCAAAGGGTGAACAGTGTATTCAATGTGTGTTTTCATTTTGGGTATTTAAGCAACATTTGGAACAATTGTATGTGGGTTTTACAGGTGTTTCCCAGGTGTTTTCATTAGGATAAATCAAGGGCAGCTTTGAGTTTGATTATATAGACTTTAGGGGAGGAGTTAAGGAATAATCATCCCGCTGTTTCCAGACAGTAGCCTTTTATTGTTTTCCGTCGCTGGATCTTGGCTCTCTCCTTTTCACTTGTTTAGAAAGTTTCCTCTTTCAGCCAACATGAACAGATATCACAGGCTCCAACAGGAACAGATATCACCGGCTCCAACAGGAACAGATACCACAGGCTCCAATAGGAACAGATATCACAGGCTCCAACAGGAACAGATATCACCGGCTCCAATAGGAACAGATATCACAGGCTCCAACAGGAACAGATATCACCGGCTTCCAATAGGAACAGATATCACAGCTCCTAGGACAGATATCCCCGGCTCCAACAGGAACAGATATCACAGGCCCCAACGGAAACAGATATCAAAAGGCTCCAACGGGAAACAGATATCACAGGCTCCAATAGGAACAGATATCACAGGCTCCAACAAAACAGATATCACGGGCTCGCAATAGGAAAACAGAAATATCAGACCGTGCATCCACTAGGACCAGATATCACCGGCTCCAAAGAACAATAATGCACGTGCTCCACAGGATCCGATCTCAAGGCTCCAATAGGAAAACAGATATCACAGGCTGCCAATCGGAACGGAATATCAACATGGCTCCAACCAGGAACAGATATCAACCCGGCTCCAGGGAGGAACGATCTCAGCACAAAGGCTCCAACAGGAACAATAACACACCAAAGAGAGCTCCACTAGAACAGATATCACAGGCTCACAAAAAGGAAACGATTCACAGGCTTCCAACAGGGAACAGATCTCACCGCATCCAATAGGAAACAGAATCACTCTGTCTCCAAGTGAACAGTATCACAGGCTCCAAGTTTCCCAGATAACCCGGCTACCAATAGGCCGCAGAATATCCACAGTCTAGCCAATCCAGAACCTATATCACAGGCTCCAACAGGAACAGAATATCCAGGAGGATCGACAGGCCCTAACCAAATAGAACAGAGTTAAAACAGGCAAAGAAGGCTCCAAACCGGAAGCGGATCTCACCCGGCTCCAACTTTCTGGTACTGCTAGGTAGTAGAGCTGAGCAGGCTCCAGAGGGAAATTTTCCCGAAAGTTCTTTGTAGAGAAGGGAGAGAGAGGCAGGCATGGGTAAGTGAATAAAGAGATAGAGAGATATACAGAATCAATGGGGGAGAGAAGAGAGAGAGAGGCACATGGGGAGCGAGAGAGAGAGAGAGGTCATGGGTAATCGAGAGAGAGATAGGGCATAGGGATAGAGAGAAGACAAAAAAAAAGAACAAAACGGGGAAAAGACCAAGAAAAAAAAAAACAAGTTCATGGGAGAATAGAAGGAACGGTCGACAAGGCATTGGGTAATAAAATAAGAGATAGAGACAGCTGGTGGGGAGATCAGAGCGAGAGAGACAGGCATATGGGATAGAGAGATACCAGGCAGTGTGGAGAGAGAGAGACAGGCATGGGGGAGAGAGAGAGAGACAGGCATGGGGGAGAGAGAGAGAGAGAGACAGGCCAATAAAAAAAAAAGGTGGGAGGGGATAGAGAGAGAGAGAGACATGCGATAGTGGGATAGATAGAGACAGGCATGGGTAAGAGAGAGAGACAGGCAATGGGTGAAGAGAGAGAGAGACATTGCATGGGGGAGAGAGAGAGACAGGCATAGGGGATAGAGAGAGAGAGAGAGAGACAGCAATGGGGATAGAGAGTAGCAGTCATAGGGGGATAGAGAGAGAGGCATAGGGGATAGAGAGAGAGACAGGCATAGGGGATAGAGAGAGAGACAGGCATAGGGGATAGAGAGAGGGCTTTGTAGATGAACACATACCAATGTAGCTGTCATATAAAGTGAGGTCCAGACCACAATTTGATACAAGGTGCATTGGTGGGTGAGTGACTTAGCATTTGAAATAAAGCGCAAGGATGCATGATGAACAGAGTCCAGTCTAGGTACGACAGAGGAGGCTGCATGCCTAACAGCAAGTTCACAATAATCGATTACAGAGAGAAAAGTGGCTTGAAAAAGCTTATTTCTAGCCTCAAAGGGGAAGCAAGCCTTGTTACGAAAAGAAAAACCAAATTGCTGTTTAAGCTTCCTCACAAGATTATCTACATGAACTTTGTAGGACAGCTTTATCATCCAACCACATACCAAGGTACTGGTAGAAGACACCTTTTCAATGGGTGATGTAAAAATGCTAAAGGCAGGCATGGGGGATAGAGAGAGAGGGACAGGCATGGGGAGAGAGAGAGAGACAGGCATGGGGGATATAGATAGAGAGAGATGCATGGGGTATAGATATATGATAAACATGCGGGGATAGAGAGAGAGAGAGACAGGCATTGGGGGATAGAGATAAGAGGCGACAGGCATGGGGAAGAGAGAGAGATAGACCATGCATGGGGGATAGAGAGAGATAGAGGCATGGTGGATAGAGAGAGAGAGACCGTCATGGGGTTAGAGAGAGAGAGACAGTGCATGGGGATAGAGCGAGAGAGAGCGACAGGCATGGGGATATAGCGAGAGAGAGAGACAGGCAGGGGGATAGAGAGAGAGAGAGACAGGCATGGGGATAAGATAGAGAGAGACAGGCAGGGGGTAGAGAGAGAGAGACATACATGGGATAGAGAGAGAAGAGACCGGCATGGTGATAGAGAGAGAGACAGGCATGGGGGATAGAGAGAGAGAGAGAGAGAGGAAGAAGAGAGATAGGAAGAGGACAGGAGAGAGAGAGATGAGAGGAGAGAGAGAGAGAGAGAGAGAGAGAGAGAGAGGCAGGGGGATAGAAGAGAGAGAGAGAACCCCGGCATGGGGGATAGAGAGAGAGAGAGAGGCATGGGGGATAGAGAGAGAGAGACAGGCATATGGGATAGAGAGATAGAGAGACAGGCAATAGGGGATAAGAGAGAGAAGAGACATGCATGGGGGATAGATAAGAGAGAGAGACAGGCATGGGATAGAGATATTGAGAGAGACGGCATTCGGGTATAGATAGAGCGAGAGACGGCCATGGGGGTAGAGAGAGAGAGAGAGAGATAGACAAGGCTGGGGGATAGAGAGAGGAGAGATAGAGAGACAGGCATGGGATAAGAGAGAGTACAGGCATTTGATAGAGAGCGAATAGAGACGGCATGGTATAGAGAGAGGAGAGACAATGCATGGGGGATGTAGAGAGAGAGACAGGCATGGGGGATAGAGAAGAGAGACGGCATGGTGTGATAGAGAGCGAGAGACAGCATGTGGGGGGATAGAGGGATAGAGAGAGAGAGGAGATAGAGAGAGAGAGAGAGAGAGAGAGAGAGAGGCATGGGGATGAGAGAGAGAGACAGGCATGGGTGATAGAGAGAGAGAGACAGCCTGGGGGATAGAGAGAGAGACAGCATGGGGGATAGAGAGAAGACAGGCATGGGGGATATAGGAGAGACGTCATGGGGGATATAGTCGAGCGAGACAGGCTGGGGATAGAGAGATAGATAGACATCATGGGGATTAAGAGAGAAGAGAGACAGGCATGGGGGTAGAGAGAGAGAGAGACAGGCATGGGGGATAGAGAGAGAGAGACAGGCATGGGGGAAGAAGAGCGAGAAGGCATGGTGGATCGAGAGAGAGACAGGCCATGGGTGAGAGAAGACAGCATGGGGGATAGAGAGAGAGATACAGGCATTGGGGATAGAGAGAGAGAGAGACATGCTGGGGTATAGAGAGAGAGAGAGACAGGCATGTGGGAATAGAAGAGAGAGAGACAGGCATGGGGATAGATTATAGAGGAGACAGGCATGGGGGATTAGAGAGAGAGAGACAGGCTGGGGGAAGAGAGAGAGAGACATGCATGGGGGATAGAGAGAGAGAGACAGCATGGGGGATAGGATAGAGAGAGTCAGGCTGGGATAAGAGAGAGAGAGACAAGGCATGGGGGGATAGAGAGAGGACAGGCATGGGGATAGAGGAGGAGAGAGACAGGCATGGGGGATAAGAGAGAGATGATACAGGCATGGGGGATAGAGAGAGAGAGAGACAGGCATGGGGGATAGAGAGAGAGAGAGACAGGCATGGGGGATAGAAGATAGAGAGACCAGGATGGGGGAATAGAGAGAGAGAGAGACAGCATGGGTATAGAGAGATAGAGATAACCTGCATGGGGGATAGAGAGAGAGCGACGGCATGGGGATCGAGAGAGAAGACGTCAGGGGATAAGAGAGCGAGAGAACAGCAGGGGATAGAGATAGATATAGACATGCATGGTGGATGAGAGAGAGGACAGGCATGGGGGATAGAGAGAGAGAGACAGGCATGGGGTTAGAGACCAGCCCCTGGTCTGGTCTGGTCTGGTCTGGTCTGGTCTGGTCTTTGTTTTAATCATGAAAAGGTTTCTTGTGTTCTTCTTGTGGTCGTCACAATAGTTCACAATTACCCCGGCGCTGTCTGCATTTTGAATTCGTTTTATGACATTCTGTGGGCAGGAGACTCGAGTTCCACGAAGAATACTTTACCATAATTCAAACCTCAAAGATTTCTATTGGCCTATAGATGGTGATTTCTATTGGCCTAAAGATGGTGAAAAAGACTGCAAATGCAGCAATATATTTCTCACATATTCATTGCAGCAAATGCAGCAATATATTGCAGCAAATGCAGCAAATGCAGCAATATATTTCTCACATATTCATTCAAATTAGATAGTAGTCTGGACAGTTGAAGCCAAAGATGAGACTAATTCTGCTTCTGTCCCATGTAGTTTCCAGTTGTGTGTTACACTGTCCCTAGTGGAGAAGTTGTGTTACTGTAGGTCAGAGGAATCTGGCACACTAAGAACAGGTAATGATCATTATCACTGGCCTTTATTGTATAAGGAATTGGGCACACTAAGAACAGCTAATGGTACAAAGTCACGCAGGGATGGGAGAGAGACCGGCATGTGAGATATAGAGAGACAGGCAAGGGGATAGAGAGAGAGATAGAGACAGTGCATGGGTGGATAGAGAGAGACAACAAGCAGGCATGGGGAGATAGAGATAGATATACATTTCATGGGAGAGAGGAGAGCAGAGACCCAGGCATGGTGGAAGAGAGAGAGAGAGAGGCATGGGGATAGAGAGAGAGACAGCATGGGGGATAGAGAGAGAGAGACAGGCATGGGGGATAGAGAGAGAGACAGGCATGGGGAGAGAGAGAGAGAGACAGGCATGGGAAGAGAGAGAGAGACAGTCATGGGGGATAGAGAGATAGAGACAGGATTGGATAGAGAGAGAGAGACAGGCATGGGTAGAGAGAGAGATACAGGCATGGGGATAGAGAGAGATACCGGCATGGGGATAGAGAGGAGAGAGACAGGCATGGGGATAGAGAGAGAGTAGACCAGGCCTGGGGGACGAGAGAGAGACAAGGCATGGGAGAGAGAGAGAGACGGTCATGGGGATAGATAGAGATAGGATACAAGCAGGGGGGGGGGGGGGGGGGGGGGGGGGGGGGGGGGGGGGGGGGGGGGGGGGTTGGGAAGATAAGAGAGACGGCACTGGGGATAGAGAGAGAGAGATACGGCTGGGTTGTATAGAGAGAGAGACAGGCATGGTGAGAGAGGAGATAGAACACAGGCATGGGAAGAGAGAGAGAGAGAGAGACGGCTGGGAATGAGAGAGAGACAGTCATGGGGATAAGAGAGAGGAGAGATTAGAGAGACTATGCATGGGGATAGATAGATAGAGAGAGGATAGAGAGCAGCATGTGATAAAGAGAGACAGTCATGGGGAAGAGAGAGAGCCAAGGCCTGGGATAGAGAGAGAGAGACGGCTGGGGGAAATAGAGAGAGAGAGACAGGCATGGGGGAGAGAGAGAGACAGGCATTGGGAGAGAGACAGGCATGGGGGGATAGAGAGAGAGAGACAGGCATGGGGAGAGAGAGAGAGACAGGCACTGGGGATAATAGAGAGAGAGACATGCCTTGGGATAGAGAGAGAGAGAGACAGCATGGGGGATAGAGAGAAAGAGAGGCATTGGATAGAGCGAAGGAGAGAGGCAGGCATGGGGGATTATAGAGAGAGAGAGTATACAAGGCGATAGGGATAGAGAGAGAGAGAGAGACAAGGCATAGGGAAAGAGAGAGGAGACAGGCATGGGGGATTAGAGGAGAGAGAGAGCAGGATGGGGGATAGAGAAGAGAGAGAGGAGAGAGAGGATAGAGAGAGGAGAGAGAGAGAGAGATGACAGGCTATGGGGATATAGTAGAGGATAGAGAGAGAGAGAGAGAGAGAGAGAGAGAGAGAGAGAGAGAGAGAGATAGCAGAGATAGAGCGAGAGAGGAGACAATGCATGGTGGAATCGAGAGAGATAGAGAGAGAGCAGAGATAGATCTAGAGATGAAGAGGAGAGAGAGAGAGATAGAGAGAGAGAAGAGAGAGAAGAGATAGAGAGAGAGCGGAGGGGAGAGAGGCATGGGGATAGAGTAGAGAGAGAGAGCGACAGGCTGGGGATAGAGAGAGAGAGACAGGCAATGGGGATAGAGCGGGAGAGACAGGCAATTTGGGGATAGAGAGATGCGACAGGCATGGGGGATAGAGAGAGAGAGACGGCATGATGGATGAGAGAGAGATGACGGCAGGGGGATAGATAGAGAGGAGAGAGGCATGGGAAAGAGAGAGAGAGACAGGCCATGGGATAGCAGAGAGAGAGAGGCATGGGGGATGAGAGAGAGAAGAGAGCGAGGCATGGGGGTAGGAGAAGATGCAGGCATATGGGATAGAGAGAGAGAGAACAGGCATGGGATAGAGAGAGGAGAGACAGGCATGGGGGGATAGATAAGAGAGACAGGCAGGGGATAGAGAAGAGAGAAAGGCATGGGGTATAGAGAAGACAGCATGGGGATAGAAGAGAGAGAGAGACAGCATGGGGATAGATGAGAGACAGCAGGTGGTAGAGAGGACAGGCATTGTGGATAGAGCGAGAAGACAGGCATGGGGATAGGAAGAGACGGCATGGGGGATAGAGAGAGTGAGAGAGGAGAGAGAGAGAGAGAGGCCATTGATAGAGAGAGAAGACAGCATGGGGATAGAGAGAGAGAGAGACAGGCATGAGGAATAGAGAGAGAGAGAGAACAGGCATGGGGATCGAGAAGAGAGAGAGAGAGAGAGAGACAGCATGGGTATAGAGGGAGAGAGAGAGCAGGCATGATGGATAGAGAGATAGAGACAGGCATAGGATAGAGGAGAGAGAGCCAGGCATGGTGATAGAGAGAGACAAGGCATTGGATATAGAGAGAGGAAAGGCATGGGGGATCAAGAGGAGACATGCATGGGATGAGAGAGATGAGACAGGCATGTGGGATAAGAGAGAGAGAGACAGGCATGGGGGATAGAGAGAGAGAGAGACAGGCAATGGGGATAGAAGAAAGACGAGACAGGCCTGGGGGATAGCGATAGAGAGAGAGAGAGAGAGGACATAGAGAGAGAGAGAGAGAGAGCGAGGAGAGAGAGAAGACAGGCATGGGGATAGAGGAGAACGAAGGCATTGGGATATAGATATAAAGTAGACGCATGGGGGATAGAGAGAGAGATACAGGCATGGTGGATAAGTGAGAGAGAGAGACAGGCATGGGGAGAGAGAAGAGTGACAGGCTGGGGGATAGGAGAGAGAGAGAGACAGGCCTGGGTGGATAGAGAGAGAGAGAGACAGGCATAGGGATAGAGATAGAGAGACAGGGCAGGGGATAGATGAGAGACAGGCATGGGGGCTAAGAGAGAGAAGACAGGCATGGGGGTATGAGAGAGAGAGACAGGCATGGGTGATTATATATAGCAGAGAGAGGCATGGGGGATAGAGAGAGAGACAGCTGGGTGGATTATAGAGAGACGAGGCAATGGGGGATAGAGAGAGAGAGAGACAGGCCTGGGGGATAGAGAGAGATAGAACAGGCATGGGGATAGGAGAGAGAGACAGGCATGGGGGATAGAGAAGAGAGGACAGGCTGGGTGATATCATAGACGAGAGAGAGCAGGCATGGGGATAGAGAGAGCGACAGGCAATGGGGGATAGAGAGAGAGACAGGTCATGGTAATCGAGTAGAGAGAGATACAGTCCATGGGGGGATAGAGAGAGAGAGATGCCTGTTCTTATAGCGGAGATAGATAGAAAAAGCACAGGTGTCAAGTTGTCAGGGCTAATCTCTAATGTCAGTTGTCAGGACTAATTTCTGGTGGACAGACTACATAAACAGAACTGGTACCATAGATCTGTCATGATACAACTAGATTAGTGAGATCAGCAACATTAGTTCTGGTACTTGGGTTTTTAATCACGATTTCCCAGGTGGTTAGCATCTTTCGAATTTCGGAAGGGGAGGGGACATCGCCCGTCACTGGCAAAGAGAGAGAGGGTGGACTTAAATAAAATCGCTTCTCTACCAATGTATGGACCCAGAACTTAAAGAGATTCTCCGGTTCGTTTATATACTTTTTAGCCAGTAGTTCTGAAAGTAGCACTCACCGTCACATACGTGTACCACGTCATTGCCCTCTCTCTCTCTCTGCTGTCACTCAAATGGCAAGGGGCTGAATCTCATTGGCTGAAACTCTAATTGCTAGGGGGCTAGCCCACGTGGGCGGAAAATGTAGGTAGAATGGCGCCGCACAGCTTCCAGAAAACTCCGCTTTCAAACTAGAGATTTTCCTGGCTACTGGAGTAAAACATTCCTTTATAACACTCAACACCTCGCCAAGTGGAATAAAATATACTTACTAGTCACCAAAGTTCCGGAGCATGTCTTTAATCGAGCATCTGACCAATTATGCAAGACTTTAGTTCTGGGTTAACCGAGATTATGTCAGGGGATAAATTACTACCCCATTTTTTTTTTTTTTGTTTTTTTTTTGGGGGGTTTTTTTTTTATACCCTTTTCACACTATTGTTCCCCCCGAACTGTACTGTGCCGGCTCAGTTGTTTTCCTTTCTCATTGTTAGGAGTAGGTGGGACAGGTTAAGGCCAGACAGGGCGTGGCAGAGGGGCGGGGCTCTTACCTGTTCAACAGTAAGGGGTGAACAGATCTCCTCTCCTCTCAGGATCATGGACCTCTGGGTCAGAACCTCAGACAGCTGGAACGAGTCCAGACCCAGCAGATCACTGACATTACTGACCACTGGAGAGAGAGCCAGACAGATATGTTACTGACCACTGGAGAGAGAGACAGACATGTTACTGACCACTGGAGGAGAGCACAGACAGATATGTTTACACTGACCACTGGAGAGAGAGACAGACATGTTACTGACCACTGGAGAGAGAGACAGACAGATATGTTACTGACCACTGGAGAGAGAGACAGACAGATATGTTACTGACCACTGGAGAGAGAGACAGACAGATATGTTACTGACCACTGGAGAGAGAGACAGCAGATGTTTTACTGACCACTGGAGAGAGAGACAGACAGATATGTTACTGACCACTGGAGAGAGAGACAGACAGATATGTTACTGACCACTGGAGAAAAGACACAGATATGTTACGACCACTTGATAGATATACCGACAGATATGTTACTGTCCACTTTGAGAGAGAGACATACAGATATGTACTGACCACTGGAGAGAGAGACAGACAGGATAATGTTACTGACCACTTGAAGAAGACAGACAGATATATTACTACCACTGGAGAGAGAGACAGACTGTTACCGACTCCTGGAGAGAAGACAGACGATATGTTGACTGACCACTGAGAGAGAGACAGACAGATAGTACTGACTCACTTACTTGAGAGAGGACGACAGATATGTTACTGACAAAACTGGAGAGAGTGAACAGAACGATATGTTCTGACCACTGGGAGAGAGACAGACAGACATGTTACTAACCACTGGAGAGAGAGACAGACAGATATGTTACTGACCACTGGAGAGAGAGACAGACATATGTTACTAACCACTGGAGAGAGACAGACATGTTACTAACCACTGAGAGAGAGGACAACAGATATGTTACTAACACTGGCGAGAGAGACAGACAGATATGTTACTGCCACCTGGAGAGAGAGCCAGACAGACTGTTACTGACCCCGTTGAGAGAAGACAACGATATGTTACTGACCACTGGAGATAGAGACAACATATTGTTAACTGACGCACTGGAGAGAGAGACAGACAGATATGTATACTGACCACTGGAGAGAGAGGACAAGACAATATGTTACTGACTCACTGAGGAGAGACAGACAGATATGTTACTGACCACTGGAGAGAGAGACAGACAGATATGTTACTGACCACTGGAGAGAGAGACAGACAGATATGTTACTGACCACTGGAGAGAGAGACAGACATGTTACTGACCACTGGAGAGAGAGACAGACAGATATGTTACTGACCACTTGAGAGAGAGACAGACAGATATGATTAACTGACACTTGAGAGAGAACAGACATATGTTTACTGACCACTTGAGAGAGAGACAGACAGATATGTTACTGACCACTGGAGAGAGAGACAGACAGATATGTTACTGACCACTGGAGAGAGAGACAGACAGATATGTTACTGACCACTGGAGAGAGAGACAGACAGATATGTTACTGACCACTGGAGAGAGAGACAGAACATATATGTAATGACCACTGGAGAGAGAGACCGACATATCTGTTACTGACGCACTGGAGGAGATAGACAGACGATATGTTTACTGACCACTGTAGAGAGAGACAGACATATGTTACTGACCACTGGATATAGAGACGAGCCAAGATTGGTTACTGACCACTGGAGAGAGAGACAGACATGTTTACTTGGACCACTGCGAGGAGAGACAGACAGATATGTTACTGACCACTGGAGAGAGAGACAGACAGATATGTTACTGACCACTTGAGAGAGAGACAGACAGATATGTTACTGACCACTTGAGAGAGAGACAGACAGATATGTTACTGACCACTGGAGAGAGAGACAGACAGATATGTTACTGACCACTGGAGAGAGAGACAGACAGATATGTTACTGACCACTGGAGAGAGAGACAGACAGATATGTTACTGACCACTGGAGAGAGATAGTCCAGTATCATTGAGAGAAGCTGGTTGAGAGAATGCAAAGTGTGCGCAAAGCTGTCATCAAGGCAAAGGGTGGCTATTTGAAGATCTCAAATATAAATAATATTTTGATTTGTTCAAACACTTTTTGGTTACTACATATCCATATGTGTTATTTCATAGATTTGATGTCTTCACTATTATTAGAAAATAGTAAAAAATAAAGAAAAACCCTTGAATGAGTAGGTGTTCTAAAACTTTTGACTGGTAGTTTATATAGTTTTATATACAGTGGGGAGAACAAGTATTTGATACACTGCCGAATTTGCAGGTTTTCCTACTTACAAAGCATGTAGAGTCTGTAAGTTTTTATCAGGGGTACAACTTCACTGTGAGAGACAGAATCGAAAACAAATCCAGAAAAGCACTTGTTAAATGATTTTTAAGTAATTCATTTGCATTTTTTATTGCATGACCATAAGTCTTTGATCACTAACCAACCATAAGAAATTCCGGCTCTCCCAGACCTGTTCTTTTTTCTTTAAGAGTCCCTCCTGTTCTCCACTCATTACCGTGTATTAACTGCACCTGTTTTGACTCGTTACCTGTATAAAAGACACCTGTCACACACGCAATCAAACAGACTCCACCTCTCCCAATGGCCAAGACCAGAGCCTGTTTAAGGACATCACAGGTTAAAATTGTAGACCTGCACAAGGCTGGGATGCTACAGGACAATAGGCAATGCGAGCTTGGTGAGAGGCAACAACTGTTGGCGCAATTATTAGAAAATGGAAGAAGTTCAAGATGACGGTCAATCACCCCTCGGTCTGGGGCTCCATGCAAGATCTCACCTCGTGGGGCATCAATAATCATGAGGAAAGTGAGGGATCAGCCCAGAACTACAACGGCAGGACCTGGTCAATGACCTGAAGAGAGCTGGGACCACCGTCTCAAAGAAAACCATTAGTAACACACTACGCCGTCATGGATTAAAATCCTGCAGCGCACGCAACGGTCCCCCCTGCTCAAGCCAGCGCATGTCCAGGCCCGTCTGAAAGTTTGCCAATGACCAGCTGGATGATCCAGAGGAGGAATGGGGAGAAGGGTCATGTGGTCTGAGGAGACAAAAATAGAGGCTTTTGGTCTAAACTCCCAACTCGCCGTGTTTGGAGGACGAAGAAGGATGAGTTACAACCCCAGAACCACCATCCCAAACCGTGAAGCATGGAGGTGGAAAAATCATTCTTTGGGGGATGCTTTTCTGGCAAAGGGGACAGGAAGACTGCACCGTATTGAGGGGAGGGATTGATGGGGCCATGTATCGCGAGATCTTGGCCAACAACCTCCTTCCCTCAGTAAGAGCATTGAAGATGGGTCGTGACTGGGTCTTCCAGCATGACAACGACCCGAAACAACACCGCCTTGGCAACTAAGGAGTGGCTCTGTAAGAAGCATCTCAAGGTCCTGGAGTGGCTAGCCAGTCTCCAGACCTGAAACCCAATAGAAAAATCTTTGGAGGGAGCTGAAAGTCCGTATTGCCCCAGCGACAGCCCCGAAACCTGAAGGATTTGGAGAAGGTCTGTATGGAGGAGTGGGCCAAAATCCCTGCTACAATGTGTGCAAACCTGGTCAAGACCTACAGGAAACGTATGATCTCTGTAATTGCAAACCAAAGGTTTCTGTACCAAATATTAAGTTCTGCTTTCTTGATGTATAAAAAACTTATGTCATGCATAAAATGCAAATTAATTACTTAAAAATCATACAATGTGATTTTCTCTGGATTTTTGTTTTAGATTCCGTCTCTCACAGTTGAAGTTACACTATGATAAAAATTACAGACCTCTACATGCTTTGTAAGTAGGGAAAACCTGCAAAATCGGCAGTGTATCAAATACTTGTTCTCCCCCACTGTATATAGTTATATATATATATATATATATCGTTTTATATATAGTTTTATATATATAGTTTAATATATAGTTGTATATATAGTTTATATATATGATTTTATATAGTTTTATATACATAATTATATATATATAGTTTTATATATTTTTTTATATATATATATATATATATACATATATATATAGGTTTATATATTTTTTTATATATATAGTTTTATATATATATTAGTTTGCTATATAGTTGTATATATATAGTTTAATATATAAGTCCCCTGTAGCTCAGTTGGTAGAGCATGGCGCTTGCAACGCCAGGGTTGTGGGTTCATTTCCCACGGGGGGCCAGTATGAAAAAATGTATGCACTCACTAACTGTAAGTCGCTCTGGATAAGAGCGTCTGCTAAATGACTGAAATGTAAATGTAATATAGTTTATATATATCGTTTTATATAGTTTGATTTACATAATATATATATATGTTTTATAATATCGTTTTATTATACAGTGCATTACATTAAATAATTTTTTTCCCCTCATCAGTCTACACACAATACCCTAATGACAAAGCAAAAACAGTTTTTTAGATATTTTTTGTAAATGTTAAAAGACAAAAGACTGAAATATGACATTTACATAAGTTAGTCAGACCCTTTACTCAGTACTTGTTGACAGCACACACACCTTGGCAGCGATTACAGCCTTGAGTCTTCTTGTATGACGCTACACGCTTTGGCACACCGTATTTGGGAGTTTTCTCCCATTCTTCTCTCAGATCCTCTCAAGCTCTGTCAGGTTGTGGGGAGCGTTGCTGCAAATCTATTTTCTGGTCTCCTCCATAGATGTTCGATCGGTCAAGTTCCGGGCTCTGGCTGGGCCCTCAAGGACATTCAGAGACTTGTCCTGAAGCCACTCCTTGCGTTGTCTTGACTGTGTTGCTTAGGGGTTTTTGTCCTGTTGGAAGGTGAAACTTCGCCAGTCTTAGGTCCCTGGCGCTCTGGAGCATTTTCACATCACGGATCTCTATGTACTTTCTCCATTAATCTTTCCCTCACTTCTGACTAGTCTCCAGTCCCTGCCGCTGAAAACATCCCCACAGCATATGCTGCACCCCACCATGCTTCACGTAGGATGGTGCCAGGTTCCCCCTCAAAGAAAGACTGACGCTTGGCATCAGACAAATCATCAATCTGGTTCAATCAGACCAGAGAGCCGTCTGGCCACTCTAGATACAGGCCTGAATTGTTGTGAGTGCTGGCAGAGATGGTTGTCCTTCTGGAAGGTTTCTCCCATCTCCACTGAGTAAACTCTGGACCTCTGTCAGAGTGACCACCGGGTTCTTGTCACCTCCCTGACCAGGCCCTTCTCCCACGATTGCTCATTGGCCCGGGCGGCCAGCTCTAGGAAGAGTCTTTGGTGGTTCCAAACTTCTTCCATTTAAGAATGGTGGAGGCCCTGTGTCTTGGGGACCTTCAATTGCTGCAGACATTTTTTGGTACCTTTCCCCAGATCTGTGCCTCAACACAATCCTGTCTCGGAGCTCTACGGACAATTCCTTCGACCTCATGGCTTGGTTTTTGCTCTAACATGCACTGTCAACTGTGGGACCTTATATAGAAAGGTGTGTGCCTTTCCAAATCATGTCCAATCAATAGAATTTACCACAGGTGGACTCCAATCAAGTTGTAGAAACATCTCAAGGATGATCAATTTCGAGTCTCATAACAAAGGTTCTGAATACTTTGGAAATAAGATATTTCCTGTTTTCGCTTTGTCATTATGGGGTATTGTGTGTAGATTGAGAGGCAACTTAATTAAAACATTAAAAGGTTAAGGGGTCTGAATCCTTTCTGAAGGCACTGTATATAGTTTTTCTCAGCAGGCTTTGTCTTTAACTGAAATGTTACCTCAGCTTCTTCACTATCATGCATTAGAATAACCTCCTCTCCTTTAACCTCCCTCCCTCCCTCCCTCCCTCCCTCTCTCTCCTCCCCTCTCCTTTAACCTTCCTTCTCTCCCTCCCTCCCTCTCTCTCTCTCCTCCCCTCTCCTCTCCTTTAACCTCCCTCCCTCTCTCTGTCCTTCCTTCCCTCCCTCCCTCTCTCTCCTCCCCTCTCCTCTCACCTCCCTCCCTTCCTTCTTCTCTCTCTCATCCCTCCCTCCCTCCCTCCCTCTCTCTCTCTCTCCCTCCTCCCATTTAAAACCTCCTCCCTCTCTCTCTTTCCTTCCTTCCCTTCCGCCTCCCTCCCTCTCCTCCCCTCTCCTCCCTCTCATTTAACCTCCCTCCCTTCCCCTCCCCCTCTCCCTCCCTCCCTCCTCTCCTTTCACCTCCCTCCCGGCCCCTCTCCTCCCACCTCCCTTCGCCTCCCTCCCCTCTCCCAACTCTCTCCTCCCCTTTAACCTCCCTCCCTCCCTCCTCTCGGTTCTCCCCCCTCCTCTCCTTTAACCCTTCCTCCCCTCCTCTCTCCCTCCTCCCTCCTCTCCTCTCTTTAACTCCCGCTCCCCCTCCTCTCCCTCCCTCCCCTCTCCTCTCTCTCTCACTCCCTCCACCTCCCTCCTCCCATCTCCCCCTCCCTCCCTCCTTCCTCCTCCTCTCACCTCCTTTGGATGTGATATTTGTGCTGCCTCTCGGCGGTCATGAATTCTATTTTCCCTATCAGGAGACCAGCAGACATCAGCTTGAGAAGACGCACGTATCTCCTCCGCACTGACCTCCATCACCTTTAAAGCCTCCTGGTGGCAGCCAGAGACAGAGAGATTATATTTTCCTTCTATGACCCAACTGGATTAATACATCTGCAGGGCCCCCCATGTTCCAAAGTATCCCGAGTATGAGTGTCTAGTATCAGCTTTCCAATAAGATCATAGAATAAATGACAGGACAGAGAGGACCTGATCTTAAATTGGCACTCCTAATCTGAGACGTGTGTTGAATACCGGCGCTGGGTTTATTGCGCCCTTCTGGTGGCAGCTTGTGAAGTACAGACAGCCCACCATAACTGTCGTAGAGCTGCAGGTCGTCTAGGCTCCTGTCCTTTCAACAGACAGCCAGACTGACTCATGTAGAGGTACTACTCCGGGCCCTCAGACAGAAGTCAGCTCTGAACACAGACCGAAAATAACTTTAAGCAGTTGAAGCAAGCGGTCACATTTTCTCCATGAAATTACCTTTTCTAGAGATAACACAAAGTCCCACTGTATTTTACATTTGTGGGGGGGGGGGGGGCCATTTTAGAGGAGTCATTTAGCAGACCTCTTAATCCATAGGCGACTACAGTTAGTGATTGCATACATTTTTTTCATACTGGTCCCCCTGGGAACGAACCCACAACCTGGCGTTGCAAAGCGCCATGCTCTACCCACTGGGATACACAGGTATTTGTTCACAATGCTTCGTAACGGTGTAAACTAACGTGGAAACCTTACTTATCAATGCAGAGTTCAAGATAATGAAAATATATATATTTGATAATAATTAATTGTGACATGGAATAAATACAACTAATAACGATTAAAATAACATGGGAGTATAATTAACATGGCTATATACAACAGAAAGTCATAAATAAACATGCTTATACAGGAAGTAGAAAATCATGGCTATATCCCGGAAGTAGAAAATAACCATGGCTATATACTGAAGTAGAAATCCATGGCCTATATACAGAAGTAGAGTACATGGCTATATACAGGAATTAAAGAAATAACTGGCTATATCACAGGAGTAGAATTAACATGGCTATATACAGGAGTCATAAATAACTGGCTATATACAGGAAGTAAAATAACATGGCTATATACAGGAAATAAAAGAAAACATGGCTATATACAACAGGAAGTAGAAAATAACATGCTATATACATTAATATAAAATACCATGGCTATATACCGGAAGTATAAATTAACATGGCTATATCAAGGAAGTCAGAAAAATAACATGGCTTATATACAGGAAATAGGAAGTACATGGCTATATACAGGAATTAGGAAATAACATGGCTATATCTACCTTAGTAGAAAGTAACTGTGCTATATTACAAGGAAGTATGCAGTAACAGGCTATATAAAGGAAGTAGAAATAACCTGGCATATCAGGAAGTAGAAAAATAACATGGCGATAACAGGAAGTAGAAAATAACATGGCTATACAGGAGTAGAAAATAAATGGCTATATACAGGAAGTAAAAAATAAACAATGGCTATATACAAGGAAGTAGGAATAACTGGCTATATACAGGAAGTTTACCCCTTAAGGACTAGACAACAGGATATCTAATGACAGTAGCAGCAGTATACTGTAGTAGGGATAAAGGGACGAGACAACAGGATATATAATAGACACTAGCAGCAGTATACTGTAGGTAGGGGGTAAAGTGACTAGTCAACAGGATAGATAATAGATAGACATTAGCAGTCATATTCTTGGTAAGGGGTAAGTGACATAGACAACATGATAATCATAACAGTAGCAGCAGTATACTGTAGGAGGGTAAGGACTAGACAACAGGCTAGAAATAGCCAGTACAAGGCAAGTATACTGTAGGTAGGGGTAAGTGACTAGACAACAGGATATATAATAGCAGTAGCAGCAGTATATCTGTGTAGGGTAAGTGACTAGACAACAGGATAGATATAGACAGTAATCAGCGTATACTGTAGGTAGGGGTAAAGTGACTAGACAACAGGATAGATTAATGACAGTATCCGCAGTAATACTGTAGGTAGGGGTAAAGTGCTAGGCCAACCGGATGATCTAGACAGTACAGCAGTATACTGTGGTAGGGGTAACGGGAACTAGCAACAGTATAGATAATATACAACTCTCAAGCAGTATACTTTAGGTATGGGTAAATCGACTAGTCAACAGGATCGATAATGACATTAGCAAGCAGTATACTGTAGGTAGGTAAAGTGACTAGACACCGGTGATAATAGACAGTAGCAGCAGTTATACGTAGGTAGGGGTAAGTGACTAGAACAAACAGATAGATAATAGAACAGTAGCAGCAGTATACTGTTAGGTAGGGGTAAAGTGACTAGACAACAGGATAGATAATAGACGTAGCAGCAGTATACTGTAGGTCAGGGGTAAGTGACTAGGCAACAGATAGATAATAAGACGTAGCATCAGTAACTGTAGGTAGGGGTAAAGTGACTAGGCAATAGATAGAAATAGACATCGCAGCATATACTGTAGGTAGGGTAAAGGGACTAGACAACAGGATAGATAAAGACAGTAGCAGCAGTATACTGTAGGTTAGGGGTAAAGTGACTAACGATAGGATCGATAGACGTAGCGCAAAGCAGTATACTGTAGTATGGGGTAAATGACTAGACAACGGAATAGATAATAGACAGTAGCAGGCAGTATACGTAGTAGGGGTAAAGGACTAGGCACAACCGGATAGATAATAGACAGTAGCACAGTATAATGTAGGTAGGGGTAAAGGGACTAACAACAGGATAATAATAGAACAGTAGCAGCAGTATACGTAGGTATGGGTAAAGTGACTGACACAGGATAGAATTAATAGACCGTAGCAAGCGTATACTGTAGGTAGGGGGTAAAGTGACTAGGCACCAGATAGATAAATAGACCGTAGCAGCAGTATAACTGTAGGTATGGGTAAAGGGACTAGACAACAGGATAGATAATCGACAGTAGCAGCAGTATACTGTCGGTAGGGTAAAATTGACTAGGCAACAGGATAGATAATAGACAGTAAGCATCAGTACTGTAGGTTAGGGGTAAAGTGAACTAGACAACAGGATCATAATAGACAGTAGCACAGTATCTGTAGGGAGGGTAAAGGGACTAGACAACAGGATAGATAATATACAGTAGCAGCAGTATACCTGTAGGTCGGGGTAAAGGGACTAGCAACAGATAGATAATAGACAGTAGCAGCAGTATACTGTGGTAGGGGTACAAGGGACTAGGCAACAGGATAAGATAATAGACAGTAGCACAGCAGTATACTGAGGTTAGGGGTAAAGGCCTAGAGACAACAGGATGATAATGACAGTATCAGCCAGTATACTTAAGGTATGGGTAAGGACTAGACAACAGGATAGATAATAGTGCAGTGTGGTGATGTGAAAAGTTGTGTGTGTGTGTGTGTGTGTGTGTTGTGAGAGTGTGTGTGTGTGTTGTGTGTGTGGTGTCAGTATGCATGTGTGTGTGTGTTGTGGCGTATGTATTGTGTGTGTGGGGGGATGTCAATGTAGTATGTTGTAGTGTGGGGTAGAGTCCAGTGTGTGTAGAGTCCAGTGTGTGGGTAAGAGTCATGTGGGTGAGTCCAGTGTGTGGGTAAGTACGTGTGTGGGTAATATCAGTGTGTGGTAGAGTCCAGTGTGTGGTAGAGGTCAGTGTGTGGGTAGAGTCATGTGTGGGTTAGAGTCCAGTGTGTGGGTAGAGTCCAGTGTGTGGGTAGAGTCAGTTGTTTGGTAGAGTCCGTGTGTGTGAGTGTGTGGGTAGAGTCCAGTGGTGTGGGTATAGTCCATGTGTGGGTAGAGTCCAGTGTGTGGGTAGAGTCCAGTGTGTGGGGGTAGAGTCCAGTTGTGGGTAGAGTCCAGTGTGTGGGTAAGTCCGTGTGTGGGTAGAGCCCAGTGTGTGGGTAGGTCCAGTGTGGTGGGAGAGTCCGTGTGTGGGTAGAGTCCAGTGTGTGGGTAAGTCCCAGTGTGTGTAGAGTCCAGTGTGTGGGTAGAGTCCAGTGTGTGGTAAGTCCGTGTGTGGGTATAGTCCAGTGTATGGGTAGAGTCCAGTGTTGGGTAGGTCCAGTGTGTGGGTAGAGTCCGTTGTTGTGGGTAGAGTCCAGGTGTGGTGGTAGAGTCCATTGTGTGGTAGAGTCGCAGGTGTAGGTAGAGTCCATTTGTGTGGTTAGAGTCCATTGTGTGGTAGAAGTCCAGTTGTGGGTAGAGTCCATGTGTGTTAGAGTCCAGTGTGTGGTATCCAGTGTGTGGGTAGAGTCCAGTGTGTGGGTAGATCAGTGTGTGGGTATAGTCCAGTGAGTGTGTGGGTATAGTCCCGTGTGTGGGTAGAGTCAGTTTGTGGGTCGATCCAGTGTGGGTTAGATTTCCCCAGTGTGTGGTAGATTCCAGTGTGTGGTAGAGTCCCATTTGTTTGGGTAGAGTCCAGTGGTGGTAGAGTCAGTGTTGTGGGTAGAGTCAGTGTGTGGGTAGAGTCCATGTGTGGGTAGAGTCCCAGTTGGTGGGTAGGTCCAGTGTGTGGTAGATCCGTGTGGTATAGTCCAGTGTGTGGGTAGATTCAGTGGTGGGTAGAGTCCAGTGTGTTGGGTAGAGTCCGTGGTGGGTAGATCCAGTGTGGTAGAGTCCCGTGTGTGGGTAGAGTCCAGTTTGTGGGTAGAGTCCAGTGTGTGGTAGAGTCCAGGGTGTGGGCACAGAGTTTGTTCGAAAGGGTCAGTGCAGATAATCCTGGTAGCTAATTGGTTCTAATTCACTAGCTATTTATCAGTCTTATGGCTTGGGGTAGAAGCCTGTTCAGGATCCTGTTGGTTCCAGACTTGTGATCGGTACCCCCCGCTTTGAATGTCTGGTACCGCTTTGAATGTCTGTACCGCTTCATGAGCAAGTGAGGCACTTTAGTTGATTCTGTACAGTGGGCTGGTGTCACTCAGAAACAATGGTTTTCCATGTGTTTGATACCGTTCCCATTGAATTCCATTCCAGCCATTACTATGATCCGTCCCCCTTCACCAGCCTCCAATGAAATTCCATACAATGTTTTTGGCCAATAACTCTACTTCGACTCCAGTCAAGGAGTCTCTGTATGAATGAACGTACCTCTTGGTCTTGTCTGCCCCGGCCAGCGAGCATAGAAGATATGAAGTTCCTCTCTCCAGGTCCACCAGGGTTCTGCCTCACCAAAACGGTTCTTTTAAGTAATCTAAGGTTAAAGTTCAAGTGAAACAAAGACAGATAAATACATCTCTAAGCCAACCAAGACATCACAGTAAGGTCCAGGCTCAGTACATTCATGCACAGTCTTGTCCTCCATTAGGTCCATTAGTGTACATTTGAGTCCAAGGCCTCAGTATGTTTACTGTAAAGCAAAACGTAAGGTAGTCTTAATAGGTCCTCATTACGTTATGTGGTAAATGAAAAGGAGACAGTCGGATGCCATCCCCCTTGATGTTCCCACCTCTGGGAGAAGTGATTGGATGAACTTCCCAAAGATCAAGCGGGAATAGTTTTTGTTGTAAACCGCTTGCATTCCCAACGCCTCCATGATGGGGCTGAGAAAGAAGAAGAGAGAAGAAGCGAAAGAAAGAAGAAGAATCAAAGAAAGAAATACATAACGAAAGAACGCAAGAAATAATAAATAAAGAAAAGAACTAACGAAATAAAGCCAAGACAGACAGAACGAACGCCCTCACACAGACAGAACTATATAAAGAAATAACATAACCATCAAGCCTATCACTACCGACCGACATAAAGCAAGAAGAAATAAAGCAAGAAATACAGAAAGAAAGATATGAAAGAAGGAAGACTAAAGAAAGAAAAACGACAGAAAGCGGAGAAAGAAAGAGAGAGACAGAGAGAGAGAGAGAGAGAGAGATAGATCATTTAGATTTAAGCCAGTGTCACACAAAGCATTTGCGCAATTTCTGTTGCAGATGCAATTGACATCATCTCATTCAACTTTTCTCCTGATACCACAGCAAAGCAATTCAAACAGAATGAAACAACAAACAATCCTGTCATAGTCTCCTGCCTCACATCACATCAACGGTTTCCTAAATTATTATTGTTTCTTTGTAACAGCTTCGATATATACAAATACTGGCTGTAAACAATTCAGCTACTAAGCCAAAATGTTGCCTATTTGCCAACCATGTTTTATCAACCTAGCAAGCTAAGCTACCACTAGGGATAGCTACACTAGTTAGCTAGCCCTTGAATTTCATGTTAGGGAATTTCAGGTAAAAAACTGGACAGAGAAGGGAACTGGTTTCACTTTATTAAATTATATTTCTTGAACTGCCAACCATCTACATAAACCATGACTAGCATGGTGTCCATATCTTTAAAATTTGGCATGTATTTCTCTGTCACGGTTTGCAGCAACACTGGACCGCTGGTTGGAGCTCTCTCCGAACGGAATAGGATTGACACACAGAGGAGCATCGGCTTTAAAAATCCCTTTACTGGGTGAAGACCCTATAGTAGTACTTCAACATTCAATCCTCAGAGAGAAAAAAAAAGAATTAAGATGGTGAAAAAAAGATGGAGAGCGAGAGAGAGAGAAGCGAGAGGGAACCGAAGAGAGAGAGATCAAGAGGGACAAGAGAGATTTAACCTGAGAAGATCCCCTAAGCCAGCTTGTCCTGGGGCTCTGTTCACAACACAAACAACCCCACAGAGCCCCAGACCAGCAAACACAATTAGACCCAACCCAATCATTAGAAAACAAAAAGGAATTCTTGACACTTGGAAAGAACTAACAAAAAAAACAGAGCAAACTAGAATGCTTTTGGCCCTAAACAGAGAGTACACAAGTGGGGGCAGAATACCTGACGCACTGCACCCACAATTAAGGAAAGCTTTTGACTATTTACATACTCAAAGGGCATGGGGGGAATAGATAAGAGAGACGCGGGGGAAAGAGAAGAGAGAAGGAGAGAGACAGCATGGGAGAGAGAGAGAGAGAGACAGGCATGATAGAGGGAAAGCAGAAGAGAGAGAGAGACAGGCAGTGATAGAGGAGAAGACAGCAGGGGATAGAGAGAGAGGAGAGGAAGAGAGAGTGAAGGGGAAGAGAGAGAGGGGAGAGGCCATTATAGAGAGAGAAACAGAGAAGAGAGAGAGAGGAGAAGGGCATAGATAGAGAGAGAGAGAGACAGGCATGGGGAATGAGAAGAGAGAGAGAGAGGAGAGAGACAGCATGGGATAGAGAGAGAGAGAGAGACAGGCATGAGGATAGAGAGAAGAGACAAGGCAAGGATAGAGAGAGAGAGCAGGCATGGGTGATAGAGAGACACAGGATTGAGAGAGTGAGAGAGAGAAAGGCAATGGGGGATAAGAGAGAGAACAGCATGAGGAGTAGAGAGAGAGAGACAGGCATGGGGGATAGAGAGAGAGAGAGACAGGCATGGGGGTAGAGAAGAGAGAGAGAGACAGGCAATGGGGATTAGAAGAAGAGAGAGACAGGGCATGGGGATAGAGATGAGAGAGAGAGAGAGGACAGAGAGAGAGAGGCAAGAGAGAGAGAGAGAGAGAGCGAGAGAGAGAGAGAGACAGGCATGGGATAGAGAGGAGAGACAGGCATGGGATAAGAATAGAAAGAACAGCATGGGGGATAGAGAGAGAGAGACAGGCATGGGGGATAGAGAGAGAGAGAGACAGGCATGGGGATAGAGAGAGAGAGAGAGACAGGCATGGGGGATAGAGAGAGAGAGAGACAGGCATGGGGGATAGAGAGGAGAGAGAGAGAGACAGGCATAGGGATAGAGAGAGAGAGACAGGCATGGGGATAGAGAGAGACAGGCATGGGGGTAAGAGAAGCAGAGAACAGCATGGGGGAAGAGAGAGAGAGACAGGCATGGGTGATATATATAGAGAGAGAGAGGCATGGGGGATAGAGAGAGAGACAGCATGGGGATGGAGAGAGACAGGCATGGGGGATAGAGAGAGAGAGAGACAGGCATGGGGGATAGAGAGAGAGAGACAGGCATGGGGGTAGGGAGAGAGAGACAGGCATGGGGGATAGAGAGAGAGAGAGAGGACAGGCATGGGATGATATATAGAGAGAGAGAGAGGCATGGGGGATAGGAGAGACCAGCAATGGGGGATAGAGAGAGAGACAGGCAGGGGGGAAGAGAGAGAGAGAACGGGCATGGGGGATAGAGAGAGAGAGAGGCCCTGTCTTATAGCGGGAGATAGGGAGAGAAAAAGGCAACAGTGTCAAGTTGTCAGGGTAATCTCTAATGTCAGTTGTCAGGAAAATTTTTCTGGTGGACAGACTACAAAAACAGAACTGGTCCCAAGATCGTCTGATACAATAGATTAGTGAATCAGCAACATTAGTTCTGGTATTGGGGTTTTTTAATCACGATTTCCCGGGTGGTTAGCATCTTTCGAATTTGGGAAGGGAGGGGACATGGGCCCGTAATTTGGAAAGAGAGAGAGGTGGATTTAAAAAATTCTTCTTTTAAAGTAGGGAAACCCAGAATTAAGGGGAATTTCCCGGTTCTTTTATATATTTTTTAGCCAGAGTTCTGAAAGTAGCATCACGACAACGTGTACCACGTCATTGCCTCTCTCTCTCTCTGCTGCATCAAAGGAAAGGGGCTGATCTCTTTGGCTAAAACTCAAATTTCTAGGGGGCTAGCCCCGTGGGGGGAAAAATGTAGGAAATGGGCCGCACAGTTTCCCAGAAAACTCGCTTTCAAACTAGAGTTTTTCCTGGAAAGGGAGAAAAACATTTTTTATAACACTAAACACTCCCCCAAAATGGAATAAAATATATATAGTCCCAAAGTTCCGGAGCATTTTTTAATCGAGCCTGCCCAATTTAGCAAGACTTAGTTCTGGGTTAACCAAATTTGTCAGGGGATAAATTATCCCCCTTTTACCAATTGTTCCCCCAAATGACTGTGGGGCCCTCATTTGTTTTCCTTTTCTATTGTTAGGAGAGGTGGGACGGGTTTAAGGGCCAACAGGGCTGGAAAGAGGGGGGGGGCCTTCCTTTTAAAACAGTGGGGGGTAAAAAGATCCCTCCCCTCTAGGATCAGGGAAATCGGGTCAAAACCCTCAGACAGCTGGAACGAGTCCAACCCAGCAGATCACTGACATTACTGACCACGGAGAGAGAGCGACAGTAGTTACTGACCATGGAGAGAGAGAAACATGTTAGACCCTGGAGGAGGGGACAGACAGATATGTTATGACCACTGGAGAGAGAGAAGACATGTTACTCCCCACTGGAGAGAGAGACAGCAGATAGTTACTGACCACGGGAAGAGAGAAACGATATGCTGACCACTGGAGAGAGGGGACAGACGATAGTTCTGACCACTGGAGAAAAGAGACAGCAGTTTTTGACCATTGAGAGAGAGAAGACGAAGTTACGACCCTGGAGAAGAGACGACAGATATTTACTGCCCACTGGAGAAAAAAAACAATATGTTAGACCATTAAAGGAAACCGACAGATTGTTACTGCCACTTGAAAAGAGAGACAACAGATTGTACTGACCACTGGAGAGAGGACAGACAGATATGTTACGACCAGGGGGAAGAAGACAGACAGATATATTACAAACCACTGGAGAGAAGACAGACTGTACGATTTGGAGGGGAAGACAGACGAATGTTACTGACCACGGGGAGAGAGAGGACAGCAGAAGTAATGACCACTTAGAGAGAAAAAGACAGATATGTTACTGCCCATGGAGAGAGTGACAGAAGTATGTTTGCCCACTGGGAGAGGACAGACAGACATGTTACAACCACTGGAGAGAGAGACAGCGATATTTCTGCCACTGGAGAGAGAGACAGACATATGTTACTAACCACTGGGGAGACAGACATGTTACAAACCCACGGAGAGAGAGACAACAGATATGTTACAACCCACTGGGGAGAGAGACAACAGATATGTTACTGCCAGGAGAGAGAGCAGACAAAATGTTACTGACCCGGAGAGAAGACAACGATATGTTACTGACCACTGGAGAAGAGACAACAATTGTTACGACCACTGGAGAGGAGACAGACAGAATGTTATGCCCACTGGGAGAGGGGGACGAAATATGTACTGACCACGGGAGGAGGACAGACAAATGTTACTGACCACGGGAGAGAGGAAGCAAATTTTAGACCCTGGAGAAGAGACAGACAGAATGTTACTGACCACTGGAGAGAGAGACAGACATGTTACTGACCATGGAGAGAAGACAGACAATATTTGCCCACTTGAGAGAGAACAGAAGATATGTTATGCCCACTTGAGAGAGAACAGACAAATTTTTACGACCACTTGGAAGAGGACAGACAGATATTTTTACTGACCAGGAGAGAGGACAGACAGTATTTTATGACACTGGAGAGGAGAGAAGACAGAATTTTGCCCCACTGGAAGAGAGACAGAAGATTTTTACGCCACGGGAGGAGGAAGACAATTTTTTATGCCAGGGAGAGAGACCGACAATTGTTACTGACCACTGGAGAGAAGACAGACGATATTTATGACCAGGGGAGGAGAGACAGACTAGTTACTGACCAC